GAAGCACGACAGGGCGGCCGTTGATGTTTACAAGGGGAGCCACTAGAGGGCGCCCGTTGATCGTGAGACCAGAAAGAACAAGGTTGCCCCCTGTTGTCATGGTAACCAAATGAACATGGCTGGCATGGCATGTGACCCCTCTGAGCATGGTGGCAGCCCATCGCCATAACAACGATCTGAACCCAACGGCGCTCCCTCGTCACGCATTGCGTCTGAACTTCCGGAACATGGCGGCGCCCCATCACTACGGCAACCAAATGAACCCAGCGGCGTTCCGTCGCCATGCTGCTCGCCTGAGCTTCCGGAACATGGCGGCGCCCCGTCACTATCGCAACTAAGGAAACTGGGCGGTGCTCCATGCCCACATGACCTGCCTGAACTTCCGGAACATGGCGGCGCCCTGTTACTGGCATAGCTGCCCGAGCACGGCGGGCATGGCGGCTGTCGGCGCAAGCCAAAAAGATCACGCTGTGTGCCAGCGGGGCACAATGAACGTGACCTAGTGTGGTACGCAGGCGGTGAAAAGGTATCAGAAGGCGGAGCAGAGCCGCCAGGAGGAGCCTGCATCGCGGAAGGGGGAGGGGAGGAGGATCGTAACTGTGACACATGGTGACCCGCACAACTGAGGGAACTGGGCACAGGGGTTTGGCCAGCGAGGGGTAATGGGACAGAACGAGCTGTGTAAGCGGGTGGCAGTGACCTGAAGACCGGTGGTACGTCCTCAAGCGAATCTGGAGGGCAGGATGGAACAGTTTGAGCCACAGTATCGGTGGCCAAAAGGATCTCAGCGGGAGCACAAGATCTAATGAGGGATTGGCGCATCCTCAGAACCAAAAATGCCTCTATGTATTGGAGTTCCATGACTCTATCGCTGGCCTTACAGAAATCATAGAGCGTTTGCAGAATTGAAACATCGAACGTCCCTTCTGGAGGCCAGCGTTTGCCAGGGAGTGGGTAGGTAGGCCAAACTTCCTGGCAGTAAAAAGTTAATAATTTAGTTTTTATGGTATTTTTAATTTTTAAAGTACGTAAATTGGAGATTAAACATTGTAGAGGCGTTTTTTGGGATGTAGGAAGGAAATTACCCATCGGTGAATAGGGCGGGCAAAATCCGGTGGCACAAAGGAAAAGCTATCAGTAACCCGTAGCGCCACGCAGCGAGGCAAATGCAAACGGGGGATAGACCAGTTGACTGGGTCCGGGCCCAGCGATAAGAGTCTTGTGGAGCGTGCTCACCTTAAATCAATCGGGGTTGCGGTGAGTGGAGACAGCTGGCAGGAGATGGAACGCGTCCTGGCAGGAGGAGCGCAGAGTTAAGCCGTGATGGTTTTGGTTTGTAGGAGGAACGTAGAGTCAAGCCGTGATGGTTTTGGTTTGTAGGAGGAACGTAGAGTCAAGCCGTGATGGTTTTGGTTTGTAGGAGGAACGTAGAGTCAAGCCGTGATGGTTTCGGTTCGTGAATCAGCAAGGGGCCCAACTGGGCGCGTGTCCCAAGTGAGTCACCCGCCGATCGAGTCACAGGGCACCAAATGATAGGTCTGTCTTCAAAGGATAAAAGATGCTTCCAAAAGTTGAGGAGTATAAGACAAAAGAGGCCTTTATTCCGGGAACACGGGAAAGGAGACCGGCGTACTGGCCACTGGAATCTGGAGGTCTCTCTCGGACACGTGGCGTGGGGGACTCTAAATAGCCTAAGCTTAGGGCAGTGCCCCAAAGGCCATTAGAGATGCACAGGTATCTCATTGGCGCACAGGTCCTTAAGGATGGGGATATAGGATTACAATCAAATCCATAGGGGGCAGGGTGGGGGAGGAGTTTAGCTGCAGCCTTTTCTGGTTACAGTGTTCAGTTTGAGCCAGCAACTCTTTCAATGGTCAAACACCAATTATTGTTTCAAGGCACTAGGAGGATTCAAGACAGGCTGGAAAGGAGAGGCCCAGGGAACCCCAGGTTCTCAGGCTGGAACCAGACGGCATCACCTTAAACTGCTGTGAGACCCTGAAGAGACGCTGGCCTGCCCACATGGGATTAAGGGGCTGCATCTGCACCCAGCCTCCTCCCAGAGCACCCAGGGGCAGTAACCACAGGGTTGTCATCAGATGCATCAAGACACTGAACCAAAAGAAAAGGTCAACAGCAAACCACAGATGAGCCCCACACTGGGACTGTCAATGTAAACTCTGCAGACAGGATAATATGTTCAGAAAAGAAACAAAACACAAAGTATCCGTTGTCAATGGAGAATTGGCATTGTTTTAAAGGGTCGATTACAGATTCCAAAACTGAAAAGTGCGGCTTTAGTGGAAGTTTAGTGGACAGGCAGACACAATGGAAGAGAAGACCTGGAAGGTGGTTGGGCAGAAAATGTTCAGCTACAGCACAGAAAGAAAGAAATTCAGAAAGATGCATGCAGTGAAGGGTCAGAGCGTACCTGAGCACTAGAAAGGGAAGGAAGAAATAACACGGCAGATGAACATTTCAGGAAGACCCAAGCATTTTCTGTATCACATGAGAAAGCAGAAGTGTTGAGACGCTAAGAAAAGACAGAGAAAACCACACTTCTTTGCATCCGTGATAAAACTTTTTAAAAACCAAAGACAAAGAGAAACCCACTAAAGCAGAGAAGAACATGCAGCCTTGTCAAAAGAGTCAACCGCGAAGACTTCCTGCGGTCCCTCCTGCAGGACCCGCCGCGTGCAATCTACAGCCAAAGGGAGACGATGGGAGCTACTGCAGCCCAAGACCCCGAGCGTCACTGCAGAACTGAGAAGAAGCCAGGTGGGCACTGCAGCGTCCCCTCCCCTGACCCCGCAGACCCCACAGAACCGGCAGCAGGACAGGACGAGACGAGGAGGACGCAGTACCGAGCTGCTGGACAGAAGAAGACACATCAGCGGCTGTTTCGGCATCAGGCCGAAGCACGTTCTAAAGAGCAAAGCCAAAGCTGACGCTGAGCAGGCACAGCGCCGGGCCATCTGCGGGCGCCAGGGAACGGTTACCCAGGCAGCTCCCACCCGCAGGGCCACTGCAGCCCCGATGTCCAGCATGCTTCAAGAAGCAAGACAAAAGGGTTTTGAGATTTCTCACAATCAAAAAGCACGCTTGAAGAGAGAGAGAGAGAGAGAGAGAGAGAGAGAGAGAGAGAGCGAGAGAGCGCTGTTTACCCTGATTTAAGTACACACGGGTCAAAACGTTACATGGCTCCCCATTAATGTGTGCAATTTATATTTTTATGTGTCAGAGTGAATTTAAAAAAGAAAAAGAAACCTAATGCTGATGACCAAAATTAGGTGGTGGAAAAGAAAAACAGGGCAGCAAGTCAGAAGTAAGGAAAAAATACAAGCGAAATAAAATAAACACTAAACAAGTAAAATAAACACATTTATCTAAATCCTCTGCCTCCACGGTCAAAAAACAAACAGATCAAAGAAGCCCAGTAGAAAACATGGATAAAGGATATTAACAGAGTTCGCGTAAAAGAAACACAGATGGGTTCTAAACCTAGGAAAGACGTGTGACCTCATTCAGTGTGAGGGATGAAAATCAAAACTACCCCAGGAGCTCTAGGGCATTTGGTTTTGCCAAATGCCAAAAATAATACAGAATATGCCTACATTTCACTGTAGGTAAATGTTGAAGAACAATAAACAAATATTGAATTCTACCTACTAAGATACATATTGAAGTGCTTTTAAGTAAACTGATTGGTGTCTGACTTTGAAATGTATTTTAAAAAAAAAATAAGCCAGGTGCAATGGGGCACACCTCTAATCCCGGCACTCTGGGAGGCTGAGGCAGGAGTATCAAAAATTCAAGCCCAGCCTGGAATTTAGGAATTTAGGAATTTAGGAACCTAGTGAGACCCTATCTAAGAGTAACATATAAGCAATAAATAAATAAACAAACGGTTAGGATGTAGCACAATGTGAGGTCCTAGGTTCAATCTCCAGTACCTCGGGGAAAAAATAAGGGTGAATAAATGAATAAAAATGGAAGATAGTAAAATATTAACAAGTGTCAGCTCAGTGACGGATATGTGTGTCCTGCTGTCTGTAGCATTTTCTCAGCTTTTCTGTAGATAGGACTCTGTTCAAATAAAATGTGAAGAAAACACTCTAGAAAACGTTCTCTCTCAAATTGGCAAAAATAAAAAAGCCAGACAACTGGCTGTAGGCCAGCAGCCCCTGCCAGCCTTCACCAGTAGACAGCAGCTCGCGGGGGCGGGTGACTTCTAAGAAGGTTAACAGAATGTAGCCCTAGCCGTTCAATGGACGTGGCCCTCCCGTGGAACCGCTCTTCTGTAAACAAGGCCCACACGAGAGGGCCAGGGCTGAACGAGCTGCAGGCACCACGTCTCATACCTTTCTCATCGCTAAGACAAATGCTCGACACCGAGTTAAAGGAGGAAAGGTTGATCCTAGCTCACAGTCTGCAGAGCTTTGAGTCCGTAGCTGGCTGGCTCCAAGGTAGGGTGCGGGCAGAGGAGAAGCAGCCCAAGGTGAAGCAGGCGGGAAGGAGGCGGTGGGCGGCAGCAGCAGCAGCAGCACCCTGCTTCTCTCTGTCCCCTTCTAGCCCATCCAAACTACGAGCCTACTGACTGGCCGCACCCACACCCGGGGTGGGGAGGGGCTTCGTGCTGTCCCCACCCAGAACTGCTAAATCCAATCTGTGGACTAATAGACTGCCGCACAACCTAGCTCCAGCCAGCTCCAAAAGCCCACCTGTGAAAGCATGAAGCTTTGGGGGACACCTGGATATAAGCCATAACGGGACCCAAAGTGGTCGAATTTACACTGATGGTGGTTGCCAGGGGATGGGGTGGGGAGAATGGAAGCGTAGTGGTTAATCACAGAGTTGTGTGTGCCAGCCGAAAAGTCCCAGAGACAGATGAGCAGTAAAGATGTGCCTAATACCACTGGAATCGCACACTTAGGGAGGTAAAGAAGTAAATGTTATGTTGCATGTACTTTGCTACAATCTCTCTATATTTAAAAAGAAAGAAAGAAGAGCCAGCATCGGTGACAGAGCTGCCACTCCCACCGGCCCAAGAAGCACAGCCAGGATCGCAGGAAGTCACAGATCCTGTTTCAGCTCTGCTGGCCGGCCGCGCCAGCCCCGGGAAGGCTGCACTGCGTCCACTGGCTTCTGCTGTGATGTCCGGCCACCCTCCCCTCCTCCCACAGCCGCCCGAGCCGAGGTCCTTATGAAGTGGTGACAGCTCGTTGCAGGTTGGTGTCCCCGGGAGTGAATGAGGCAGAGTGCAGTCCGAGGGTGACATGCAGTGCCTGTGGCTGCAGGTGTGTCGGGCCCAGGTGGTCCAGTGTCTGCTCGGGGACCCTAGCAAAGCTTGGATAGGGCAGTCCCCATTCTGCCTTCCACCAGGGCCCCAGGAGATGGGATCTGGGTCTGGGTCTGGGTCATTTCCTTGCTTGGAGGTGCAGCTTCCACCTTTATGCACATGTGGCCCAGTGCTTCCTGGGCTGTCGGGAGGTCTCCACAGACTCCACAAGGATGGGGTGGCTGTGTGGGGACCGTCCCTGTCTCCAAGGACCTGTGGCTGGATCTCGGCAGGCAGGTTGGACTGCACTGCCCCCTCCCCCAGGAAGCCAAGCCACTGAGTCCCCCAGGGTGAATGTCAGCCAGTGGATGACAGCGGTAGGAGTGGGTGGGTGGGGCTGCCCATGGTCCCCCCACCTCCCCTCAGCGCTCCAGTGAGGCTCAGGAGGGAAGGGGCTGCAGCCACTCAGTCCCAGCCCTCCTGGACAGTGTTCCCTCAGTCCACCCGCATGCTGGCCTCAGCCCTGGGATCCACCTACACATGCGTGGGACTGGGAAGCCCAGCTGGGCACAGCACGGCCTTGGCCTCCACCTTGAGGGAAGGCCGCACTTCTGGGCTCCCATTATGCCTGCCTCTGCTGCCCCGTTCTCCTGCGAGCCCAGGCTGTGGGCTGTACCTGTGGGTTCCGGGAGGGAAGCCCTATCACCCCACGGAGTAGAAGTGGCCGTGACGCCGTCTGCTACTGTGGCTCCCCCAGGAGTGGAAGATGGTACCCGGCCAGCCCGAACCCGAGGAGAAGCCCACAGCTGCTGCCGCACGATGGAGGAACCCACGCCTGAGCCCGCCTACGTCGACGTGGACAAGGGCCTGACGCTGGCCTGCTTCGTCTTCCTCTGCCTCTTCCTGGTCGTGATGATCATCCGCTGTGCCAAGGTCATCATGGACCCCTACAGCGCCATCCCCACGTCCACCTGGGAGGAGCAGCACCTGGACGACTGAGGCTGCGAGGGGGTGGATGGGGACCGAGGCCCTGGCACCCCCGCCTCCACCTCCAGCTTGCAGCACTGGAGGCTGGGGATGGCACAGGCTCGCCTCAGCACCTCCGGCTGTCACACGCCGCCGGGTGCCCTGGTGCTGGGGTGTGGGCTGGGGACAAGGGCACTGATCCCAGACTCGGCTGGCACCCTGGGACCTGGGGGATGGGCCCTGTGCCAGCTCCTGTGTGCCTCTGGGATCCCAGTCCAGACCGGCATCCATCACACGACAGTTGCCTGGCTCCCAGGAGCTCTGTCCTTAGAATGCTGCACAGCACATGGGCCCTGCAGACACCTCCTGTGGCTGTGCCACAGCCCAGAGACAGGAGTGGAGCAGAGGGGGACAGGGACAGGTCCCCTCTGAAAGCTAACAGAAGTTCACAGGACTCTTTGAAGCAGTATTTTTTAAAACCAACACACAGAAGGGAGATATTTTTCCTGTTTTAAGTGAATGCACATTTTAGAAGCTTGGGAAAATGCAGACAAACAGGAGAAAATAGCTCTTTAATCCCACCTCCCAGAATCTGCCCATTTTGATATATTTCTGCAGCCTTTTCTACAGGTATTTTTTAGCCAAATTTATGTGGTGTGTAGGGACAGCAGACTCCGGGGCGGGACTCCTGGGGCCTCCTGACTACACGAGGCTGCTCCTCCCAGAAAACCACTGTACCCCGAAACCCTGGGGCACAAGGTCTGAGTGGAGACCTGGGCTCTGTTGGCCCTGGGTGCTCAGAGGAGCACAGCCTTGAGCATCACCTCTGTCCCCCACTGTAGGGTGGGGAGGGGAAGCCTCACTGCGTTTTTGTTTTGGGGGTTTGGGGTGCATTTTCCTTAGAAGACTGAAAGTGCAGGAGGAGGGCTTTACCTGTCGATGTAGGGAGAGGAACATGTCTCCTTCTCTTCCCTCACCCCACCGTGACCCTGCAGCAGGAGTTCTGTTCTAGACTAGCACCCTGCTCCTGTGCCCCAACTCCTCTGTCTTCTTGTGTGACCCCCAAATAGGTCCGCTTCCGGTGAAACGGGGAAGGAGCATCTACCTCAGCAGTGGCTGTGGCATGACATGAGACTCCCTGGCAGGCGCGAGGGTCCTGGCTGGCTCCGCCTTCCTGGAGAAGCTGGGTCCCCTCTCCTGTGGATGGATCCTAGCCAGGACCCCTGGGCAGAGGACACTCCCAGGGCCTGACCTCGAGGGAGGTGGGTGCATTGTCCTCCAATGCAGTGTGAAGCCAGACCGCCTGCGTCCCTCCCTCCAAGCTGCGTCCTCCTGAGGCGTGGCCTGTGTCTCCTCTGGGGCGATGGGGACCTCGGCCTTCTCTTGTCTGCTCCTTTGCCATGGTCCCCAGGCCCCCAGGCCACTCAGGAAATGAGTTTCCAAAGCATGTCACCTCCAGGTAAGCCCTGAGAACAGACAAGGCCACCAGTGTGCAGGCGGCTCCCAGCTTCTGGGTGTCCCCTTCCCACTGTGAGGATACAGAGGGACAGTGCGGAGACAGTGGCCGTGACACCGGCAGGGCTGGGTCTGAAGCAGATCCCTGGCATCGTCTGCAGCCCGGCAGCTGCCCCTGGAACCTAACTCAGGGATGCTGGGAGCCTCTCCAGGCAGCTCATGCAGGGTCCTAGGAGCCCTGGAGTGTGAGCAGGGTTCCCCAGGGCTGGAGCTGCCCTCTGGGACCCTGGGAACTTGCAGAACCCAGAATCCTGCCCACCCCAATCTACAGGACCGGACCTCCAGTCTCAAGCACACTCACAGCGGGCTCTCCTTTGGTGCCAGGAGGGAACAGTAAACTTGAGAAAGGACAGGAACTGTAAGAGTCTCTCCCAAGCCTGGCCCGAAGCTGACTGGCGGTCTCCCCCGCCTCCACGCGCAGGCTGGATTCTTCAGATGCTGTCAGCTGTCGGCTTCACGTCAGGCTGTCGCACCACAGCACAGCTTGTTTCTGCATTGCTGCCGAGCTTCATACTTACTATGGTTCCCCCAAAATAAGACCTAGCTGGAAAAAGTCAGCCTGGAGCACTAGAGAAAAGCCAGCCCTCATCAGCCGACCTGGCCTCTCCCTTACAGCCACCAAGCAAGAGCACAGTGAGGGTGTGGGCCGGCAGTTCTGACTGCTGATTTTCGAGGGTGGTTGGTATTTTCTGGCTCGATCTTACTTTGAGGGAGAGGGTAGCATTCTCATGGGACCCAAAAATGTGGCACCTAATGTGCACGCAATCCTGTAGAGCCCCCGAATCGAACACGTCAGTCACTTCCATTTTTCCTCTCATCTCCCTCACAGGGAGGCGGGCCCCAGTGCTTGCTCTCCGCACACCCCTGAGGCCTCCATGCCAGGACCTGCACCGTCAGGTCTGAGGCCGCCCACGCAGAGGGAGAGACAGCAGAAGTACATGCTGCCACGGCGCTGTCTGCTGTTAAGGGGGAACACAGTGGTCTTGAGTGCCTTCAGCAGTTCGAATGTCCCCAGACGCCAGAGATTAACTCAACTCCAGATGCCAAGTGCAGAGTTCCCCAAGCCCACCCTGTCCAGGGGGTGGCTGTGCTCCTTGGACTGGCTATTGAGGACCCATCCTGACTTGTGACCATGGCCACCTGCAGTGCCCCTGGTAGCCCTGTCACAGAGAGGTGCTACCCGGAGTCCTCAGAGGGCATCCCCACGCCTGCTGCTCTGCCCAGCCATAGCCAAAGTTGGGGTGCTAACCAGAGTGGTGGGGGCAACCCTGTCCCTGATGGTCATCAGTCGAGGCCCCTCCCGGCAGGGCCCTCCCTGGTCCCACCCTCGAGGGAAAGCAGGGTTGGAGAGCCCTGAAGGGGAGACCTTCAGGAAGCTGGCCAAGGTTAAAGGCAGGGGGGCAGCTCCCCAAGGATGGTCCCAGAGTGAGGCTGTGGGGCAGCAGGACTTGGGTAGGGTTAGGGTGGTGGGGGAGGAGGCCAGGCCCAGGCAGAGGTCACTACACCTTCTGGAGCAGAGTGGGGGAGGTCTCCCTCCTCCTGTCCTGGCCCCTGGCCTGGTCATTCAGTGCCCAAACCAGCAGAAACCACCTCTCAGCATGTATGAGCTGTGTTCTGATTTGGAGAAAGGTGACCCCGAGGTCAGGGACCTCTGAGGTCCATCAGCCGCCACAATGTACGGGGGATGTCATGTTTGTCCCACTCCCTGGAACTCAAATCAATGTGACCACGCTAAGGTGACAGAGACAGCGAATGTGAGACTGGCCACCAAGTCATCCCACATCTTCCCCTTGGGAGCCAGGCATCGCCCTCTACCACCGCCACAGTGCAGGGAGAGCCTTGCTAGCCCTGGGCGCTGGCGAGTCACCCTGACAGTACGGTGTGCTCCAGGGCTGCCTGCAGGCTCAGTGTGAGGACCCCAGCTGGCCAGGCCAGAACCAGCTTCAGATTTAACAGGAAGCATTTCTCCTTGGTCCCTGAGAATTTCCGAGCCCGACGAGCCTACAGTTTTAGGATGGAGCCCAAAATCCCTGAGTGGACTGCTGCGTGCGACAGCCGGGCAGTCACAGACGCGGCTTCCTGCAGGTCGTGCAGGGGCAGGAGCCCTCGGCCGCCACAGGCAGGGATGGAAATCAGAGCGGCCACCGTGGAGAGCATCAGGCCATGAAGAAACTAAAGTGGAAGGCAACGCTGCCTGGGGTGTGTCCAGGGGAAGTGGGAGACATCGCAAGGGCCAGGAGAGCAGCTTCTGCGCGCCACTCCGCTGGCAGTGCAGGCAGATATGGGGACCCAGGACGGCCTGGACCTGGAGCTCGTTGGGCTGTGTGATGTCGGCCAGACGGAAAGACAAGTACCGCGTGAGCTCACTCGTACGTGGAGCCTCCTGGACACTGGAGTGGCTCCGTGCTTCCCCAGCCAGCTGGAGCAGGGCAGGGGCCCAGGGTCCAGGTGCTGTGAGATGGGAGGAGGGGGCAGGGGCACCGAGGGCACTGGCCAGATCCAGGGGAGCCAGAAGAGAAGATCTGGGATGTCTTCACCTCCAAGAAGAGACCGTGTTTGAGATAGCTACGTCCCCCAGGTTTAAACATTACCCATGTAAACCTATCCACACAGCATGGGGTACCGGAAGGGGGATGTACAACTTTGTGTCCATTTGAAAAATAAGGAACTAAAATAAATGATATGAGAAGGTCAACAGTGCCTTCTGCAGGCCAGGCCTGGAACAGCCCTGCTGGGCCCTGCATTTGGCCGGTCACGGGCAGTGAGCACAGCGGAGGTGTGGGGTGAGCCCTGCAACAGCTGTGGGGCAACTGAGGGGTGCGCTTGGTTTGAAGCAACCCCATGTTCCTGCACTGGAAGTCTGGCCCCCAAGTAGGGTGAGGAGGAGGGTGAGGTGCGACAGGCAGTTGGGCATGGGGTGTCACTCTAGGGGCTTGGCCCATTCCTGCCCACGCCCACCCTGTACCTCCAGCTCTCACAGGCAGCCAGAGGGCACCCACAGATGGAGGTGGCCATGGCCTCTGGTTTCCCACCTCCACGTCCCCAGCCAGAAAAACCACAGCCCAGCACGTGGCCTTTGCTCTGACACCACAGCAGGGACCGAGCAGCGCAGGGACCGAGCAGCTCAGGGCACCTCGGGGTGGGCAGGCTGCTAAGTCAGTCCCCAGGGGACGGTCCCCAGACCACACAGGGCCATTAACCTGCCACCCACCCTGGGGATGGAGCCACCCTGGGCCCTTGGCCTCGGTCCAAGCCCTGGCAAGCTGCAAGCCCCGCAGCGGTGGGAGTGCTGCCCCCAGGGGAAGCCATGCCCCTGTCTGTCTTACTGCTGCTGGTGCCACGGCAACCAAACCGTCTCTGGACTGCCCCCTGCCCAGGCTCACCATGCCTCATGGCCTCTCGTCCTCTCTCACAGTTGGCCAGCACTAGACCCTGATGCTAGGAACAGCCCAGACCCCCATGCGTTCTGCAGAGACCCCACTAGCATGGGGTCTTCCGAGCTATGGGCCCATGTGGCACGGAGCCGCTCCTGTCCTGGGCCTGTTCAGAACCAGCAGCCCGACCCACCCGGGAGACATATCCAGCTCTCACTCTGTTTCCTCCACGGGGTCAAGGAGAGGCCACAAGCCTCTGGCCCAGGGCAGAACCAGCGCATGGGCCTGGGCCATCCTGGGCCCCGCTACCACCACCTCATCACACACCCGAAGCTCACGAGGTCTGTGGGCTGTCAGGATGGCAGGGCCCCTGCGCCATGACAGGGAGTGGGTGCACATCGCTGTGCTCCAGTGTGAGGGCCACGCGTGAGCTCCATCGGGTACACTGACAGCAGCAGCAGGAATGATTTTCTAGTACAGTGTTCTCAAATGTTGGCAAGCAATGCTATTCGAATAACTGCTGGGCTCAGTCTAGCATTTTAAATTCAGATCAACCCTTTGTTCTCTTCCTGCTGGCCTGGAATGTGGAGTTCCAGCAGTCACTTTTTACCAGGAGGTGACCCTGGGGTCACCCATGCAGAGGACCGCAGAGCAGAGCTGTGAGCTGCCCTGCAGCTGAGCTCCGATGGCTGCTGGATGAGAGAAATGCACCCTCCTCCCAGGGCTTTCCCTCACCGGCCCCTCTGTCTCCATCCAGCCAGCCCCCTTCTCCTCAGCTCTCTGGCCATGCTGCCAACAAGCCCCACACACCGCAACCCTAGCGGCATCATCACCCCGCTCTCCTTGTCTGTCCCCGACCCCTGCTGGCAGGCCCCAGAATAGTGGGCCCCAGAATCACATGAGCCATCTGTTAAAGTAGGTATCCACGTGCACACACACATGCACAAATGAGCACATATGACACACGTGTGTGCACACACACACTCACACACACAAGCCCTGGCCAAGGAAGCGGCACAGCTGCCCTGCCAGCCCGGGGCCTTGCTGGTTTGCAGCGCGCAGCCTCAGAGCACGGGACACAGCACAGAGGCTTTATTCACCCCAGGGAACAGCAGGTGGCGGCCGCGGTGGGAGACCTGAGTCCTACACGTCCTCAGGCTGGCATGAGCGCGGGCAGTACCTTCCCAGTGCAAGGGCCGAAACCCACGCGGTAGCCATCTCCCTGGCAGTGCCCTGGAACAGAGGAGGAGGGAGTCAGCCACCACATGATGGACTCCTGTGACGGGGGCTCTCCAGGCGGGGGCACCCCCTGCGTTTGGGACCCAGAGGGACTGAGGGGCCAGAGGCCCTCCTGGGCACTCAGTCACTCTCCCCAGGAGTCTGGTTTTGGGTCTGACATCTCATGCAGAAAGCAGGGACTGAGCAGATGGCTGTCTGTCTGGCCTGTGGTCTCCTAGCTGGGCACGAGACATACCCAGAGCTGAGGTCCCCAGGGCTGGCCAGGGTCATGGGCAAGGACAGGAAAAGCTGTAGCACCCGCACCTGTGATGAAGACCTCATCCCCGTCCAGCAGGAAAGTCCTGGTCTGTCCCTGTCCCAGCTCTATGGGCTTTGTACCCTTCCAAGACAGCTCCAGCATGCAGCCGAAGCTCCCTGGATCCTTGGTGACACGGAAGGAAGCAGGGTCACTTGCATGGCACTGAGGGGTGGGGCCCACCCAGGTGGATGGTGCCCAGGGACACCTGGGCACCGGTGGGGGCCAGGCAGTCACAGAGGCTTGGATGCTGCCCCTTCCCCCTCCCACAAGGGTCCCGATGTCCAGGATGCTGAGTCCTGGCAGGGGTGTGGCCAGGACCCTCACCCTGCCAGGAGGGACCAGCATGCACACCTCACAGGGTCCTCTCTGCAACCGCTGTGCTGGACCAAGGATCACAGGGCCCAGGGACGCTGGGACAGGCCACAGTGGAGAGGCCACCCCACCCCAGGAGGGGCGGTGTGACACAGTGATGACATCACTGTGCCTCTAGCCCCTTGGGGACAGAACCCAGCCTCAGCCTCACTCAGCCCTTGTGGAGGGGAAGCCAACCTGAGGGTTGGTACCGGGCTCTCCACAGGGGCAGCCCTCCCTCTGCAGCCTGGACTCACCGGCCCGCTGATGGTCCCAGAAGCCAGGAGGTCGCCTGGCTGAAGGTTACAGCCATTGACAGAGTGGTGGGTGAGCTGCTGCAGCATGGTCCAGTACATGTGCTGGGACACGGGTGCAGGTGGGGACACAGCATTCAGGGCCACACTCCCGGCCCTTGCCCTGCCCCATTCTCCCAGGTTGCCTTGCAGGCTCCTGCAGAGCTGCCTGGGGCCTCCCCTCTATTCCCCTGCTCCAGCCCTGGGCTCAGTCCTCTGCTTCTGAGAGGCAGCCTTGGTGTCAGTGCTCACCTTGAAGTTGGACTTGCAGATGGTGGCTGCCTGGCTCATCCCTTCTCCTGTGGGCGAGAGAGGCCTCCCTGGTGAGGACCTGATTCCCGTGCTAGGTGACAATCTGAGGGGATGCGCCATTGCCTCAGTCCTTCAAATGACCTCACTTAGAATTTGTGAAACAGCAGACTCATAGCACTGAAGCCAGAGCCCTGGCCACCACAGCAGGCCAGGGCTATTACTATCCCATTGCATGGAGGACAAGCGAGCACACAGATGGATACACGGGCGGCATGCCCCTGCCATGCCACTGGGCCGGAGTGGGGTCCAATCTGGACGCCAGCATGGCCTGCAGGGCTGTCCTGATCACTGCGGTCCTGCCTACCATCCCAGCTCCCAGGGCTGGCCCAGGACAGGGCTGTGGCCCTAAGGGCTGAGCCAGAGCCCCCAAGGCAGCCTGGGCTTTCAGACAGGCACCTGACAGATTGGCTGTGTGCTCAAGTGAGGCGGGGAGAAGATGAGCTGTGATGGGGCAGACCCTGGATGGGGGTGCAGGTGTGGCCCCTGGCCCTGGCCTTCGGCCGGAACAGCGGGGAGCTCAGTAGCAGGGCAGGGTCCCCTGGGCCCTGTGTGGCTCCCTCAGCACAGGAAGCCCCTTTGAGAGCCACATGTCTTCGCCCCCTACGAGCTCAGGAGCAAGCAGGGAGCATCCCTGGGGCACACACTTGCCCACTGTGACCGGACACACCTGACTGCCCACCTGCCTGCTCCTACCTTTCAAGGCAACAGACAGGTTGATGTCGAACGTGTAGGGCTGGTCGTGGCAGAGATATGGCAGGGGCCTGGGGTCCTGGGGGGCAGAGCACAGCAGAGCGGTCACTGGTATGCTGAGCTTGCCAGGCAACCCCTAGCTGCACCAAATCCTAGGACAGAGGGCACATGTGGCAGGAGTGTCCGGACAGTGTCCTCGGCTAGGGTGGTCCTAGTGCCAGGCTCTGAGAAGGGCTGGGGGAGGGACACTGGCAGGAGGAAGGTCACACAGAGGTGTCCCAGAAGCCAGTGGAGCAGGGGTGGGGCAGGGGCCAGGAGGCAGGGATGGGGGCACAGCCTGGGTGGTGGAGGGCTGGGCTAGAGCCTCAGGAAGTCCCCAGTGGCATACAGCCACCAGGGGGCGGTGCACCAGCCAGATACTGCATTCGGTGCAAACGCGGTATCTTCCCAAGTATGGGAAGCAGTGGCTCACAGAGCATGTGTGAAGTCTGAACTGCTAGATGCATTTTTCATACTAAACAGTGGGGCCGGTGCAGCAGGAGGGTTTGCAGGGGGACACCTGGGGCCATGTCACCCAGGAGCTCTGTGCAGGCCTGGGGACGGCTCTGGCGGGGGACGAGGCAGGCCTCAGCACACATGCCCCACATAGGTCAGAGCGCAGCAAAGTTGCAGGCACAGCAGCAGCCTCGTGAGAGATAGCCTGGGCCAGTGGTGGGAGACCTAGGGCTGTGGAGGGCAGTCTGTGGGCAGTTGGGCCCCGAGATGGGAAGAACCTCTCTTGCCGACTGCATTCTAAAAGCAAAACTGCCCATCCTGCAGAACCAGACTCAAAGGACCACGCTGAGGGCAGGAGACTGTTTGCACAATGACTGCTGGGAGGTCGCTGTGGCCAGGACCCGTGGAGCTCCCTTACCTGCTCAGGGTTGGGCATGGTGAAGGGCTCGAGGGCGTCCATGGGCACCACCCACGGGGAGATGGTGGTGGCAAAACTCTTCCCGAGGAAAGGCCCCAGAGGCACGTACTCCCACTGCTGGATGTCCCGGGCTGGGGACAGGAGGGCTGGGCTCAGCATTGGCCCAGGAGCAGACCGTGGCCAGCCTCCTAGACCACCCAGTCCAGGGCAAGCGCACTGGGCACC